TTTGTCATTATGCAGATCTTGTCAGATTACAATACTCGAGATTTCATTGGTGCAGGGTCTCTGTCACATCTACAGTGTATCAACTGCCAGCAGGTGTCATGTCCCTCTGACTCCTACATTCTTTCCACCCCCTCTTCTGGGATGTTCCCTGTGCCTTGAATGTAGAGGTTGCAATGTGGATGTGTCACTTAGGGCTGTGAAGCTTTACATTCTTTTAAAAAAATATTTTTTTTTTAAATCTTCACACAACTTATATGGGTATAAATTCCAGACGAGCCAGCAAGATGGTTCAGTGAGTGAAAGTGCCTGATGTCAAGTCTGATGACCTGAGTTTAATCTCTGGGACCCACAAGGTAGGAGGAGAGAACAGGCTTCCACAAGTTGTCCTCTGACCTCCACTCCTACACCCATATCCTACCCATAATAAATAAATAAATGTAATAAAGAATTTAATTCCAGATGAGTCACAATCTTTATACCTTATGCCTGTTGCCCACTGTTTGCTCCTTGGCAAACTACGCTGATTTTCATGCACTTTCAGAATGTCCTTTCATTGTTTTGTAAAACACTAATTTTTGGTGTGTTTTGTACCATCTTTCTTGATGTTGGTAGAATTTATTTTGTATCCTACAATTCAAACTACTGTCCGTGAATTTCTTGGCATGTGATAAGCACTTTCAGTCTCTTAACTGTATCTGTCATTTTAGTTCCTGTTTCTTCTGATTTTTTTTCCTTATTTTTAAGTTTTTATTTTCTGCTATTTTTTTCTGTTGTTTTTGGTTTTTCGTTTTTTGGTTTTTTTTTTTTTTTTTTTTTTTTTTTTTTTTTTTTTTTTTTTTCTTCAATATACACACAGGGCTGGAGAGATGGCTCAGGACCTGGAGTGATGCCCCGGGTCCTCTAGAGGACCTGGGTTCAGTTCCCAACACCTACATGGCAGCTGACAACAGGTTCCAGGGAATTCGACGCTCTCTTCTGGCCCTCTGCACGTACTGCATGCACGTGGTGCACTAACATACATGCAGGCAAAACACCAATACACATAAAATAAAAATACATGCCTTTAGTCCCGGCACTTGAGAGGCAGAACTCTGTGAGTTCAAGGCCAGCCTGGTCTACATAGTGAGTTCCAAGACAGCTGGGGCTACAAGGAGACCGTGTCTCAAAAAGACAAAAAAAAAAATTTTTTTTTAATTAAAAATATGCACACACCTCCCTTCTTCTGGCAATGTTATTGAATTTGCCTCCCACATCCTGTTTCCTAGACCACTTCCTTTACTGGGGGCTCTTCTGTGGGACTCAGGGCTGTGGGTACCTTTGCCATTCTCCTGCTTCGGCTCATGGGCTTCCTTCCTGTTTTAGCCCCCTGCCATCTGCTCCCTCTGTTCCTGCTTAGAGATGGCTCCCTGTTGAGGGCCCAAAGCTGCTGCACGCAGCTTTCTAGAGCCATCAGTGGTCGCCCTTGTCTGAGGCTACATTAGCTGCAGGTAAGAACTGAGAACCAGCCAGGAGGATGGTTTCAGAGAGTGGAGGCAAGACTATCCGATAGCTTTTACTGCTCCAATTGTGCTGGTGTGTTAGTTATTAGGAAAGGCAGTCTGTGCCCTGGACTTGGCTCAGGGGAGGCAGTCAGTATTGATTGCGCCTTAGGCTGTACCATGCCTTGGTACCTTGTTGGGGGCGCTGTTGATGTTCCACCTCCCTTTTTTCTGGGCTTCCATGCAGCCACAGATCCAGAGAGCCAGGGGTGGGGGTGGGAGAATGGGAGTGTGGGGTATACAGATTCAACCCTGAAAGAGGGTTGATGTGGAGCCTAGCTCCCGACCTGACTTGCTCCCATGTACCTCTATGTTCCCCTGGGTCCCCAGTGTTCCCAGACTGTTCTCTGAATTGTGCAAATCCCGGCCAACCCAGTACCCATAGAAACTGCATCTCCTGTGTTCCCCAGGCTGTTCCCTGACAGAGAGACCCACCCTAGTAACAACCACAAACAAGGACAAATGGTAGAAAGCCTTCCCTGTACCTTGCCTGGGTCGTCAGTCTCAGTCATTACTGAGACTCAGTCCTCCTGTGTGGTTGGGGGGAAGGATGGGCAGCAGGTCATGGGGAGAAGCAGCTTTTTCTTTCTGAAACATTGAGGGGAGATTATGATCCTGGAATCTCATCCCTAACAATGGTCTTTGTCCAATCCGAATAGCTGTGCTGAAGACAAGCCCGTCAGTGGGCGTCAGGCAGCATCTGGTATCAGCACTCATCTTGTGAATACACGAGCCGTCACAGAACTGACAACACAATTTTATTGTGCTTAATCCAATTACTAATGTCATGAATAACTTCCCACTATCTGTGACTCTACATAATCTTTTAAAAATTTTATTTTTTTCTATGTTTGAGTGTATTGCCTGCATGTATGTAAGTGCACCCATGTTGGCAATGCCTGAGGAGGTCAGACGAGGGCATCAGATCCCCTGGAACTGGAATTACAGACAATTGTTAGCTGTCACATAGGTGCTGGGAACTGAACCTGGGTCCTCTGCAAGAGCAGCCAGGGCCCTTAACCACTGAGCCATCTCTCCAGCCCCTCTCTAGGTTATCTTTTGCTGTGTCTAAAACACCGTCTTTAGTCTTTTATTCCAGGTTCAGAAGAAGAGGCAAAGCCAAAGCCTCTAGTGCCACGCCCAGATTCCTAAAGACTGACTTGGGGGGGCAGATTCTGAGCAGCAGTCCTTTCTACAGAAAAGCACAGCTGACCTATGGCTCACAAGACATCAGAATTGGAAATGACCTGGAAAATAAACAATGTAAGTATCGAAGTGTCCCTGTTTATAGACACGAATGGCTGAATCAAAGTATCCCAGCTGTTTAAATGTCAGTCTAGTTAAACCATGGTAAATTCAACTGCCAATTATGCACCATGCTCTATTCTAAGTGCTGGACACATAATTTTGGGTTTTTGACATAGGTTCTCACTAGGTAGCCCTTGCTGGCTTGGAACTTGCTATGTAGACCAGGCTGGTCTCCAACTCAGTTACCCGCTTCTGATGGGATTAAAGATGTGTGCCACCATGCCTGGCGCATTTTCTCACTTTAAACCTCATAGTGAGGATCTGGGAAGATGGCTCAAGCTTGTCATGTAAGCATGAAGACCTGCGTTTAATCCCCACATACATGTAAAAAGCCAAGCTTGGCGGCTAAACACCTAATCTCAGCACTGGGGAGGCAGAGGCAGGCAGATTCTGGTGTTCATTGGTCAGCAAGCCTAGCCTAATCAGCAAGCCCCAGGTCCCTATGAGAGACCCTGTCTCAAAAATGAAGGTGGACAGCTCCTGAGGAACGACACCGAAGGTTGACTGCTGACTTCCACATGTACCAGCATACAGTTACACTTTCACACACTTATTCACAAATTTCACAACTTCCTAAGAGGTAGAAACTCTTACCTCTTTTTCACATGATGAAACATGGCAGAGAAGTCACATCATTCTCCCAAGGTTGCACAGCAGTTGAATCAGTATCTGAACACAGGCTGTCCAATCCCAAATCTTCCCCTCCTATATGTCTAGATACCTCTATAAAGACTAACATTTTGAAAAATGTTTAACATCTCAGGTTGAAAAGGTTTTAGCCTTTTCTTTTTAAAACTCGGTACATCATTAGAACAAAACAAAAAGTGTGAAACCTGCCAGTTGACCTTCGTGAAACCATCCAGGACAGATCTTCCTCTGGCAGAGATTATTTTAAATTATCTGAATAGCATCCTTTGAGTTTTTTTCCTCCTGGTTGGGTTACTCAGGGACACAGTACACCGTAAGTTCATGGCCATGTGCAGCGTACACTCACCAACAGAGTATTGCTGTGCACAACATCTCTAGAAAGTTGAGAGGAAATCGTATGGACTGCCTAGAAACACTGTGTATGCAGGAGAGTGAAGGATTGTTCTAGGACATTTTGTATCTTTGCAGTTTACAGCCATAATGAATCATCTGATGACAGAAATTGGAGACAAACCCTCGCTTGTCTTTTTGTAGGCTGCTTGCCTGTATGTTTAACTTTGAATCCTATTTTTATTGCAACCTAACAATTTCTCTGGTTCCTGAAATTTTGTCATTGATACCCCCCCCCCCCGGAGCCATGAGGATTAAACCCAGGGTTTCATCCATGGGAGGCCTCCACTCTCAGCACTGAAATATCCCTGGCAACGTTTACTTTTTATTTGGACACAGGGTTTCACTAAGATGCCCAGGTTGATCTTGAACTTGTGATCATGGGTCTCAACCTCTCAAATAGATAGCTATGATTACAGGTCTGGGCCATCAGACCCTGCTTATATTTTTTCCTAAATATTTTTCATTTTATATAATAACATGAATGTATTGCCTGTGTGTACCAAAGTGTGCTTGTGTTGTGTGATGACCAGAGGTCAGAAGAGGGCATTGAATCCCCTGGAACTGGAGTATCAGATGGTTGTTAGCTGCCATATATGGGTAGTGAGAATTGAACCCAGGTCCTCTGCAAGAGCAGCCATGCTCTCAATCACTGAGCCATCTCTCTAGCCCCATACACTAAGTTTTATATATACCTCCTTATTAAAAGTCTAAGGAAAAATTTTGGAAGACATGTAAACACTTCCAACATGTTACATTTGGGATTCATTGTTGTGAATCACAATTTCAAAATATAGCACCTGCCACTTTCTGAAGCATTAACCAACATATAAGAAACCAAGCTTAAGCCAGGCATGGTGGTGCACACCTTTAGTCCCAGCACTTGGAAGAGAGAGGCAGGTAGAGCTCTGTGAGTTCAAGGCCAGGTTGGTCTAAAAACAGCTCCAGCTGGGGCTACAGGAGACCCTGTCAGAAAAGAAAGGAAGGAAAGGAAGCATAACTTCAGCTTTAGGGCCTCTTCTGGCCTCCGCAGGCACCTGCACTCACACACACAGACACACAAATACACAGACACATGCATATACACTTCTTAAACACAGCAAAAGGACAACTCACTGAAAGGAAGTCAAGTTTTATGTTTTATTTATTTGACAAAGAAACTTTTATCTACACTACATAATAAAGAACTCTTTAAACAATAATAAAAGGGAAAAGATGCTCAATCATAGGCCAACAGGGAAATGCAAATCAAAGCCCTCACTGGGATGATCCACTTTGCCCTCACTAGGATGACTGAGTTAGAAGGCAGACAAAAGCAAGTGTTGGCAAGGATGTGGTATAACCCCAGCCCTCACACACTGCTGGTGGGCTTATAAAACAGTATAGCTACATGACAAAATAGTTTGGCAATTCTTCAAAAGGTTAAAAATAATTATCACACAAACCAGAAAATGTATTCCTACATATATACCAGAAGGGATTAAAAGGACACATCCACACAAAAACCTACACACTAACTTCATAGCAGCAATATTCCTAATAGCCAGAAGAGCAAAACAGCCAAAGGTCCATCAACTGACAAAACACAGGACTTTCTTTGCACACAATAAAATTTCACAATAAAGAATGAGAGAGTGAAGTTTGACACAAGTTACAACTGCAACTTGTGTTCACAAACACGACGAAATAAATACGTCAAAAAAGGGGGTCCATCAGAACTTTTTAAAGGCATCTAGGTTATCAAAATTACCCTACTGAAACAAAATTAAGGTGAAAATTTAAAGAACATTTTTCAAGGTTTATTATAACTAACAAAATAACTTCAGGTCAAGTTTGTTATACAGGAACTGTCCGATGGACACATCCCAGCAAGGGAGTATGTCTCACACCTCCTTGGCTCCTGGAGTGTCTCAGCCCCGAGCACCTAACACTCCCAGCTAGTCTGCTAACTCTCTCCCCACTCCCAGTTGGCCCAACGAACTGGAGGAATTTCTCCCTTCAATTATGGAGGGATACCATCTTCCAATGCTACCATTAATTTACAAATGTGGAAACTGAGGCTCAGAAAGAGAAGAGGTCAAAAACAAAGATAAAACTTAAGTGCTTTAAAATCTTGGACAATTTTGGAGGAAATCATCAAAATAGGACAAGACCAACTGGTGATCCATGGGGACAGGTAGAGCTGCCTCCCGCCCTGCAGGACCCTCAGGGAGGTCTACAAGGCCATTTCAACATACTACCACAAAGTGAGAGTCTGGACTCCTGCCCGATGTCACCACAGCACCCCTGCCCCCCCCCCCCCCCCTCCCCCCCCCCCCCACCTTATTCTTCCTAGCTCTTTCTCATTTACTGTAGCCTGTTGCTTTGCCCTCCAGTCTCTTGCTGACTCCTAAGGTAGCCAGTCCCTAGTGACCACCACCAACAGCCTGGGAGCTACACCAGCCCCCAAGTTATATCCCAAAGCATCCTGCATCGTACACATATGGGCCTCACAGAGCAGGCCAGGGCATTTCTGCCTTAACTATCTCATGACTGGTGGATTACAGGAGCCCCTGGGCCTCAGACCACCTACGACTAGACAGGCCAGTCAGTCCTAAGCCTGGCCACCACCTAACCTACCCCACCAGGATAGGAAAGCCTCAATGAAGACTTTGCACATCGTTGTCTCCTGAGCAACCCTGGGGCTTCCCTGTGTGGCCTGGCATACCCCTCAAATTGGGAATTATAAAAGACAAACTGTCTCCACAGGGGGCATCTCCTGATAAGTGGCCCTAATCATCTCTAGAAGTAATAAAACCTAAGTTAAAGAACAGCTGTTCTCCAACAACTGGAGGAGGAGGAATGAGAAGAGCCACTCTCTCAAGGGACCATGACCCTAGTTTATAAAGCCGGGGCCTCACCAGCCAGGTACCTCCTGGGTGGCTTTTAGCTGTGGGCAGAGAAGAAACCAAAAATGAAGACAGAGGCATAGGACCTGGAGTTAGAAAGGACAGGGTGGGGTAGAGGACGCTGCCTGAGTGCTGGGAGCTACAGGACAAGACGGGAGAAAAGAGGCCAGCGGCCCAGTGTCCAGCAGGCTGGGGCAGCTCAGATGTCCAGCTCTTCCTTGATAGTAATGCGCAGGGCGCAGATACGCAGTGGCTCTGGGGGGCCATCACCCCGTGTGCCCCCCAGGTAGAAGTAGGGCCGCACGTCCCCAAAGCGGGCGTGAAAGGTATACAGGTGGCAGTGGCGCTCTGCATCGTAGAAGGACAGCTCGCCCTCCTCACACTCCAGCTCCACGCGCAGACGGCGCGGCATGGTCAGGGCCAGAGGGGCTGTGGCTGTGTCTGAGGTCATGCAGTGATCTCCCTCCACACCCTGTGTGCGGCACAGGTACCAGAAGCCCGAACGTGTGTCATGGTAGCAGCTGTGAGAATGGCCTTCCCCGTTTGGGTCGGACTGCACCCGTACCACACCCACTCGCCAGCTCTGCAGGCCTCCCACATCCACCTCCCAGGCGTGGGAGCCCTTTGAGAAGACCCGAGAGCCCAGGAGGCAGGGTGCTGAGGTGAAGCGCTCTGGGTTCTCCACCTGCACACGGTAGCCATGGTTGGTGACGCTTACGAGGTCGTCAGACACTTTGAGCCAGCCCGCAGCTGTGTTGGGATCCAAGCTGAAGGGCACTGGGGGAAAGAGAGAGAGAACGGACAGTCAGCAAACTGGACAGCCTCCTCCTGCCAGGCCAGCTGAGGTGCCACCTGCCCCAATGCATGCAGGGAGCTTGCCGGGGCTGCTAGGGTGGTTCAGATCCAACTGCATTACCCCACAAAAAGATATATGGGAGCCCTGAGCCCCAATACCTCAGGTTGTGACTCTATTGGAAATGGGGCCATTGCAAATGCGATGAGTTAAGATGACACCAGCTTGGATTAGAGACACAGACACAGGGGCGAGAAATGCCACATGACCAATGGGGCACAAGTCAAAGTGCTGTGGTCACAAGCTAAGGTCACCTAAGCACTGGCAGCCAACACCAGGATCTAGGAAGGGCCTCCCCATAGATAGCTTTGCCCATACCTTGACATCTAGCCCCCAGAGCTGTGGGAGTAAACTTAGGTCATTTATGTCAGCCAATTTGTGGTCTGTGGTACAGTAGCCATGGGAGACTAGCAGGCAGGAACTAGGAGGGTTCCCAGGACATCTTAGAAAAGCAGGCAACATTCCCCTGGGCCACTGTCATTTCTGGGTGTAAAACCAGGGCACAGTGGCTGCAGGAGGCTGAAGTGACCTGGAGCCAGGAGGTTTCTCTTACCCATGTTAGAGTTATTGACTACAGACAGGAGTGTTCATCTTTCTGAAGAAGGGCAGCGGACAGGACCCTAAAGGAAGGTGCTTTGCCAGGGCAGAGCAGGGAGGACAAAGGCCTTGGGCCTGTCTGGAAGAGGCTGTACAGAGTGACTGAGGTCAGCTGGAGCCTGGCAGAGGGAAGCTCAGCTAGCTCTCTGCTAGCACTCGGTGCTCGCCATCTGCCTGTCTGCATTTCTTACCACATTCCACAGACCCAAGCATCTTCTTCCAAACGCGGTACTGCAGAGAATCCAGGTACTTGCACTCATCCATGAGCAAGCCAGGCTGCAGCGGATCTGGCTCCACGGTGCAGAAGAGCCTGGAAAAGAAAGGCTGGGCATGGTGGGCAGGGCTGGAACCAGGCAGCCTGGGCTGATCTGAAAATGGGCTGTTCCCTTGCCTCAGGACTAAACTTCTAGCCATCTTTCCTGAGACAAACCTGGATTGGCCAGGAGTGACTAGGCTGCCACACCCCTTCAGGATTCAGTATAAGTCTCATTCTGCACAGCTGGGAGAGACAGTAGGCGGTTCTCAAACCCCACTGCCATCCTTGTAGACAGAAATCCCACTTAGCTGCTTGAAAGAGCCAAGGTGTTATCTGGCCTTTGCTTGGGCCCTCCAGTGACTGGGAGCTCACTACCACCCTAAGTCCTCTCTCCCATCACTGGACAGCTCAGGCAGGTACGTATATAGTTCTTCCTTACCTGTCCTGGAGAGCCCACAGCCACCACCTACACCAACAAGCCCCAAAACTCTCAGGGGAAGGGAGCCAGCCAAAAACCAAGCGTGACCGGCACTGGGAAACCTGAGCACATGCCTAGTGCTCTAACTCCTGCGTGGTGGCCAGCAAACCGATAAACAGCTGTCTCCATGCCAACCAGACCTGGAATGCCCTGAAATAGAGCTCCCTACTTGGCTGGACTCTGCCACTCCCTCCAGATCCCACCCAGCAGGCTATGTTACCTCCCTGGCCCTGTAGCCACTGGATGGCGCCACCCTGACTTTTCTGCCTGCTATCCCTGCCCCTCCAGCAGATCCGGCACTCACCGGCGTTTTCGGTTCTTGTGTTTCTGAAAGAAAAAAGGCAGAGACAGAGGCCCAGAGAATTCATTAAGTTTCTGATTTCAAGAGCTGCTGTGCATCCCATGTTCATGAGTGAGCAGACCTGATACTGTCCAGGCATCACTCCCCAAATGAACCTCACAGACTCAGAGTTATCACTGTTGAGATCCCAGGTGCCAGGTCTGAGGATGTAGCTGAGTGGCAGAAACCTTGCTCACCACATGTGAGGCCCTGGGTATCACCCCAGCATCACAAAAATAAATGACTAAGTGAGCAATAGAATAAATGAATAAGTCCCATGTGCTTTCTTTGCCAAAACCAGAAAAATAAAAAAAACTAATTCTAAAATTTACATGGAAATTCAAGAGATGCAGAAGGGTAAAAATAATTTTGAGCCATGTGTTGGTGCATAGCTTTAATTCTAGCACTAGAGGCAGGCGGACCTCTGTGAGTTCCAGGCCAGCCTGGTCTACACAGCAAATTCCAGGCTAGCCAGGGCTACATAGTGAGACCCTATCTCAAAAATAGTAATAAAAATAAAAATCGTGAAAAACAACAAAGTTGAAGGACCTGTACACTCACACTTCCCAATTTCAAACTTGCTACAAAGCCAGTGGTCACAGATGGGTACAGACACACAGACGGGGGCTTGGACTGACAGTCCAGACAGAAATCAGCTATTCTCCACAAGGGGGCCTCAATCATTCCACGGGGCCCTGAGTCTTTTCAGCAAATGGTGTTGGTACAGCCAGACTGCGGCAGGGAATGAAGTCAGACTTTGGCCTTAATGAACTCAAAATATATCAAAGGTCTAAAAGTAGAGCTAGGCTTGAGAAAAGACTACACCCAGAATATATAAAGAACTCTTACAACCCAACAATAAAACGACAACCCTACTGAAAAACAGACCAAGAAAGCAGACATCTGAAGGAAGCTCCACCAACACCAAGAAGCTTATGGAAAGGTCCTTAGCCATCAGGAGAATGCAAGTTGAAACCACGATGAGAGAAGGCTAGGAAAGAAACAAGAAGTGGCCAGCGGGTAGAGAGGAGGGATTCTCATGCATACCGATAAGAACACAAAACAGTGCAGTTGCTCTGGAAGTCTAGTAGTTTTTTAAAAAGATTAAAGAATTATAACCCAGCAAGCCTATACCCAGGAGAAGTAAAGACGTGTCCACACAAAAGCAGCATATGAATGTTTATAGCTGTATTTCCCATACAAGCCCAAAGTAGAAATAACCCAAATGACTATCAATTGATGGGATAAAATGAAATATACAAAGGGAGATTATCTGTCATCGAAAGGACAGAAGTCCTAACAGATGCCACAACACGAAGCTTCAAAACACAGTTCCAAAAGAAGCCAGTCATAAAGGACACACTGATTTTGTTTCTAAGCAGAAAGTGCTGCTCAGATATAAGACTTCAAAATTTGGTCTGCAATACTGTAGTGCCCACCTGTAGCTTAGGGAGACAAACCCACTATTGTTCTAAAATGATGGATAAATTTGTTTTCTCCCCCTATCTAGAAGCCTTTGAGAAGGAACTAACACTGATTCTAACCACCTCACCTTTTTAAGAAAGTTATCAAAGTGCTTGAAAGCAAATACTGAGTCCATCACTCTCAAGTCCAGCCTTGGCAAACAAAAAACAAATGAGGAGGAACCCAATAGAGGGATGCTTTTGTAAACTGTTGTCAAGAGATCCCAATGGACTCTGATATGAACATTTGAAAATTTGCCCTGTTCTGACTTTTTTCTGGTTCTGTCTAGAACTTGTAATGCAAACTACTCTTGTCTTTACTTCTTCACATCCCCTATTCACCAGTCAAAGACCTTCTTTTCTCCCTACAGAGAAGAGTTATTCAATTTGGGAGTCTTTTAGACAGACCCACTGAAGGGGTACCCCAATTGCCTCACCCTGTGTTCAGCATGGAAGAGGCCAGAGCGGTCTGCATCCCAATTCCCTACCGATAATTTGGGTAACCTCTTCAGAGGATGGTGTGACATGAACAGGAGGTAGGAACTGGCTAGGCAGTTAGGGTAAAAAGACTCCAAAGAAATGTAGCCAGTTTCTTGACTAAAAGTCAAAATGTCCTTGGGCCTCTTAGCAACATACTCTGTTCCAAAGGCCAAAAATGTCAAAAATATTTGGGAGCTCTTATCTAATCCCTAAAAGATTTTAGGGTTATATCTTCAGAGGGGGGATGTTAGAGTAGCAAAAGGTCCCATGAAAAGAAAAGAAAAGAAGTCAGAAAAAAGTGACGGGGAGCTGTGGGAGGAGTCGGAGGGGCAGGAGTGGGCATGGGTTTGATCAAAACACCTTATATGCGTGTGAAATTCACACACACACACACACACACGACTCCGTTTATGTGCAATGTCTACCACAGGCCAGTCTAGGTGAAAGACTGGTGATTTCCAGGCTGTGAAGGAAGGATTGGGGGGTGGCAGCTTAAGGATCTGGGTCTGTGGGGGTGACGAAATGTTACAAATAGATTGTTCTGATGGCTGTGCAACTGTGTGCAATACTGACAGCTGGACCTGAATCAAACCAGGTGTAGCAGGATACACCTGCAGTTCTTGCTACCTGAGAGGCTGAGGCAGAAGGATTGATTGAGACCAGGAGTTTTTAAGGCCAACCTTGGCAATATAGTGAAATGACATCTTTTTAAGAAAATTTAAAAATGGATGAATGGTATAGTATGAAAACTGTAACTCAAAGAGCTGGGTTTTTTTGTTTTTTTGTTTTTTCTAAGTATTTTTGAGATAGGGTCTCCCTGTAGCCCTAGCTGGCCTCCACCTCACAGAGATCCACCTCTGCCTCCTGAGTGCTGATTAAAGGTATGCACCACCACACCCAGCCAAGAACTGCTATTTAAAAAAAAAAAAAAAGAAAATAGTCACAAAGTCACTCCTGAACCCAAATATTTCCTGAAAAGATACTAGGTACAAGACAGGATGACACGTCCTGTTTCCTGGACAGAATCCACAAGGGACCCAACTGTCAGAACGAATCCAGTGATTTTGTCCTTGAGGCATTCTGGGCACATGAGCCATCTGGTTTTGTACAAGGAGCACAACCCACAAGGCCCTCGACAGGAGGCACCACCTTATCTGAGCACAGAGGAGAGCCTGCCCCTCCTCCACCACTGTACAAGGACTCTTTCCAAGAGCTCAGCTGTTCTGTCAACAGTGGAAAGACCAACCTGCCTGGCTGCCTGGTTTACAAACCAGATCATGGAGACTTCTCTGTAAGGAAGGATCACTGAACAAAAATCAGTAAGAGGAAGAAAAAAAAGGAAATCTTGTTTTTCAAAGGGAGAATAAAAATCATTCTTTTCATCGTTTTTGCATGTGTGCTCATGTTGTGTGTGTGTGTGTATGTGTGTATACTGTGTACATGTACATGTGGAGACACGACAACTGTGACAGCCACTCCTTGGTGTCATCTGCCTTGTTTTCTGAGAAGGGCTTTCCACTGCCTTGGGCTCACCACAGGCTCAGCTGGCTGACTATGGAGCCCCAGGGATCTACCTATCTCCACCCCCAAGCCCTGGAATTAGCAGAGTGTACCACCATGCCCAGCTTGTTTTACGTGGGTTCAAGAGATCAAACTCAGATCCTCATGCTTGTAAGGTAAACACTTTACTGAGCCATCTCCTCAGCTTGGAACCATTCTTTTTTTAAAATAGAGGCTGGCTAAATGGCTCAGCAGGTTCAGGTGCTTGCCATCAAGCCTGACAACATGAGTTCAATCCCTAGGATCCATGTCGTAGGGGGAGAAAACTGACCCCCATAAATGGTCCTCTGACTCCACCAGGGCACCATGAAGCACACATCCAGCCACAATAAATAAAATGTAATTCAAATTTGCTTAAATAATTATACAATTTTAAAAGACTCCATATCATTAATGGTTGGAGAGAGAAAAACAACAACCAACCAACCAACCAACCAACAGGAAAGCAGAAGAAGAAAAGGTCAGGCTGCCAAGACCCTGCTCCGGCCTAGCACTTCCAGCCTCTGGCACAGGCCATGCCAACATGAGCCCCTCCAGCCAGTCAGCAGAAGCCAGAGGAAGCCTGGGCTGAACAGGGTGGCCTAGCCACTGGCTGGCTCCAACCACGTGTCCCCATCAGGACTCAGATGGCAGCATCTTACCAAGAGGAAGGAGGCATCATCTTCCTTCATCTCCATCTGCAGCCGCTCAATCTCACGGGCCAGCGCCTCGGTCTCTTCTGCCAGCCGCTTCATCTTCTCCTCAGCCATCCGCTGCTTCTGTCTGCTCTCCTCTGCCATGGCATCCAGGATGGCCTTCTCCTCCACCCTCAGGAACTCACGGAGTTTGTCGAACTCCTGACGGATTTGGCTTTCCAACCAAGTAGTCTGTACCTGCACCGGAGAGCAGAAGGGGCCAAAATGGTCAGGTGTGAGAGTTGGGTGTGAGGGCCATGGTGAGGGTCAGGTGTGAGGGCCAGGTGTGAGGTCAGGTGTGAGGTCAGGTGTGAGGGTCAGGTGTGAGGGCCAGGTGTGAGGTCAGGCCTCGCCCAGGTAGGACCTTCAACTTTCAGCAATGCAACTCACGAGGAACTCCCACAGGTAAAGATCGGTGGACATTTCTATGTCCAAATTCAGAAGTGAACATCGAAGAATAGTTTGGGTAAGCTACGAACTGCAATCATGCTTGTAGATGGCAGCCTCAGGCCTATCACCCCTGGACACACAGCCTGCTGTGGCTTACTTAGGGTGCTTAACAGCAAGGAAGTCCTAAATACAGAAACGATTCTTAGAAGCTATTTGCCTTCAAACCCTCAGGCTTCGAATGTGTCTAATTGAGTCTTTTTATTAAAACACTAGGAAGCATTTATTTTAAAACTGAATTGTTCATAAATGCAGATTCCAAATCATAACCCCAAAAAGCACTGAAGACAAAAACCACACAAATACTGAAAAGCAAAGAAATAGTCCTCTTTAGAATGTAATTCCTGAGCCTATGGAACTACAAAGGCTCAAAGAACAAGACTAGTGAATAACTATTAAAACATAACTTTAAATGGTTTCCTAGTTCATTTTAAATATCGCCTTGACACCACCAGTCATCCAAGAGGAAAATCTTGGTTGGGGAATTCCTAAAAGACTGGTCCGTGGGCATGTCTGTGGGGGACTGTACTGATTGTTAGTGGATTAAGAGGTCCCAGCATACTATGGGAGGTTCCATCCCTAGGCAAAAAGTCCTTAAGTCTGTCAGAAAGCTAGCTAGTCTAAGCTGGTCTGTGAGGCAGCGAGCAAGTAGCCCCCTCCATGGTTCCCGCTGTGCTTCTTAGGCTGTGAAGCGAGTTCCCTGGTCAGAGTGTGGAATGGCAAGCAGGCCACCTTGAGTTCCTCCCTGACGTCCCTCATGACGGACCTGGACGTAAATAAACCCGAGTCTCCGCTGTTGCTTTGGTCGTGTGTGGCCAACAACAGAAACTAGAACATATGGAAAGATCGATAATAGGGTGAAATGCGCACATGTAAATCCAAGTTGACTGCAGAAAAACTAACTCAAAACACATGGTCCAGCAATGGCAGGCTGCAGGGATCCAAAGTTCAGTACACATTACGGTTCTGAAAATGACAAAATGATGGGCTGAAAAAGTGAAAACGGCCAAAGCCAAAACAACAACAAAAAGAAACCAATTCACTGAAGAAATGATATACTAGGAAATGTATGTAACATAACATAAATATAACATACTTGGCCAACATCATCTTAATTGGCACAGGCCATTAAAACAACTGGAAAGGAATCTTCCAGCAACAGCAGGGAGTCCCACTGTTGTCAGGGATGTCAGTGTGCGCTGTGAGCGCCGACACTTGATGGCAAGACAGCATCTCTCGTTCTCAAGTCAGCTCGTTGGCAGAGACACCAAGAGATTCTGAAAGGCTTCTGTCGCTTGGGCATGTCCATACACATTCTGAGTGCTGGAACACAAACTGCACTAAGGGGAATTCTCGGGCCAGGACTGAGGGGATTTGTTTGGTGGGGTTAAGGGGCTTGGGTTTGTTCTCCAGGGTCACTGTTCTGGTGTGGAATGTATTTCACAGCCCTTCCTCCCACTGCTTCCCCAGCATGCAACAACCTCATTTCTGACTGCTTACCCTGCTCTGGTTTGTCACCTCTTGAGGTAACTTTTCATACTTAGAGCTCTGCTGGACTCATCTGATACACATCTGGTTTGGGCTGCTGGGCACTGCCTTTAAGTGCCCTCCAGTGTTTCTATACCAAAGGACAGGGCCCGGGGCACAGGATGGAGCCTCATTAATGACCAGCTGTGGGGTTTACCAAAGCCATAAGCTGACCACAGGTCATTTACTGTGTGCCTAGAGCTTCAAGATACAGGGAATAATGAATGTGCTTGCATTCCCTCTGACTGGAGGAGATAAAAAGTAGAAAACCAGGGGCTAGAGATGGCTCAGCAGTTAAGAGCACTCACTGGCTGCTCTTGCAGAGGACCCAGGTTTGGTTCCTAGCACCTACATGGTGGCTAACAACTGTTGGTAATTCCAGTTCCAAGGGTCTGGCCTCTATGGGCACTGCACAACATGAGTGTACTTACATACATGTAGGCAATACACTCATAACAAATAAAAACAAAACTTAAAAAGCAGAAAACAAAAAAGTAAATTACAGGTAATGAAGTGTCTTGGAGAAAATAAACCGGCAGACATGACACAGAGCCAGAAGGGACTACGACCACAGGCGGAACACGGGGACGCCTCCCAGAGGAGAGATGTGAGCTAAAAATTTAGAGCCAAAATTGCTGTGTGGGACCTGAGGAAATGGGGCCCAGTCAAGCAACAGAGAGGCCTGGGGGCAGGAGCACAGAGCAGGAGACAGGGCAGATGGCAGGCAGGCAATCTTAGAGCTATCAGGATCCCAATCTGAGGAAGGAGAGCCACCATTGGACAGCTTAAACACAAGAATGCCATCGCTGATGTGGTTTTCTAAAGATCACTCTAGTGTTAGATTGTGGGATACAGAGGCTGGGAGGCAGGTGAGCCACAGCTGTGAGGGAGAAGTCTGACAGACATGGTGCATTCTGGGAATGGGACAGGACTACTAACAGAATGGACACAGGATGTAAAGCAAACGAGGGATTGCTAAGGAGCCCTGGGTCACCCCTGGCTCAAACACAACACAACAATGTGTGCCAACTGCAGAAGTCATCACAGTGCAGTCGGCACAGGTGGCTTTTTGGCCCACTCCCGTGGCTGCTGGCCTGGCCATGCCCTGGTCCTCAGACTCACAGTAGCCTCTTAACATCTGAGGGCATGGAGGAGACCATGGTGCCAAAGCCAATTCTGAGTCAGTTAGCCAAAGCCAGGGCTGACCCTCCCTCACTTCTCCCTGGCCGCCCCAGCATCTCTGACTTCCCACTCCGCACTTACCTCATTGTGCTTGGAGATGGCCTCGAAGGTGCGCCGAACGGCCCAGAAGGCCTTGGCTTTCTCCCGCAGCACATGCTCCATATTCTTACACTTGGACTAATGAGGGGAACAAGCGGGCAAGTTAGGGCCGGAGGCCAGACAGAGAGGACAAATACATCCCGTTTACAGCTGAGGTTCCCATGCAGAGTCTAACCACTACTACCCTTGGTCTGTACCAAGCACTGTAGGCACAGCTGTAAGTTAAGTGCAGTCTTAACCCTGAACTAAATGTGTGCAGCCAAGGTCCTCTAACCCATCCCTGACAGTGCCTGGTGCGGACGGGGAGACAAGGCTCAGGAGGTTATGTGGCCTGACCTCTGGGGAGCTGGTCAGCATATGAGCATCTATGGCCGATTCTGGTTGGTCTTAGAATCCCAGAGCTGTGAGGACAGCTATTAAGACGGCGTGGCCTCAGGCTCCATTTGCAATTTTCCAAACTGGACTTGTCTGTAGTCACTAACAAGCAGGACTGACAAGATGGACAGGTCCAACCATTTCCCACAGTATGAAATTATTCAAATGCCGTCTTACCTAGACACGCCTTCCACACCCCACCTTCTCTCTTAATAGTGCTTGAATCACACAAACCACATCAGCAAACTCAATGATTTCTTTTTCAGCTTGTTCTATTTTGTTTTGGGGGTATAGGTGTGTTGTGGGTGTACCGTGTGTGCACGCGCGTGTGTGGGTGTGGTATACATGTATAGTGTATGAATGTGTCTGTGCACACAGATATATGCACCCATGTGAGCTTGGGGATGGGGAGGGCGCTGAGTGTCCTACCATGTCACTCTCCACCTCTTTCACTGGAGACAGGGTCTCTCACTGAACCTGGAGCTATGCTGGGGGCAAGTCCTAGCCATCCTCCTGTCTCCACCCTCTACAAAGCTGAGGTTACAGGTACATACGCAGGTACATCTAGCTTTTTATATGGGTTCTGGGGATATGAACTCGTGGCATGCTAACTCAGTACACACTCTTACCAATGCCCCATCTCCCTAACACTTTGTTTTTTGGAATATTTTGTTATTTTTTATGTGTATTATCTGCATGTATGTAAGTGCACCCATGTCGTGCAATGCCCATGGAGGTTAGAAAAAGGTGCTGGACCCCTTGGAACTGGAGTTACAGATGGCTAAGTGCCATGTGGGTGCTGGGAATCGAACCTGGGTCTTCTGCAAGAGCAACCAGTACTCTTAACCGTTGAGTCATCTCTCTAGCCCCATTTAATATATTTTTAATGAACTCATTTACTTTAATTAACTCACAAATAAAACCTCATATAGCTACTTCAAGGAAGTCACCAAACATCAAGGAAGTCACCAAACATCTGCCCAGTCCCAATGCTTTAAAATTTTTTTAAAGATTTTTATTTTAAATTTTTAAAAATTTTATGTGTATGAGTATACTGCCTATATGTATGTAAGTACACCCATGTCATGCAATGCCCACAGAGATCAGGAGAGGGTGCTGGATCCCCTGGAACTGGAGTTACAGATGGTTGTTAGCCACCATATGGATGCTGGGAATTGAACCCGAGTCCTCTGCAAGAGCAGCCAGTGCTCTTAACTGCTGAGCCATCTCTCCAGCCCCTCAACGCTTTTAAATTAAAAAAAAAAAAAGTATTTACTTTTATTTTATGTGTGAGTGTTTAGCCTGCATGCATATTAAGTGCACCACATGCATTTTATGCCTGCAGCAGTCAGGAGACCGTGTTGGATCCCCTGGAAGTGGAGCTACAGACAGTTGCTAGCCACTACGTGGGTGCTGGGAACTGAACCCAGGTCCTCTGTAAGAGCAACCAGTGCTCTTAACCACTGAGTCATCTCTCCCGCCCATTTTTAAATTTTTAATTGTTGCTTCTCACCATCAACTTCTTAAAGCACTTTGAGTTCCAAGATTGAGTCCTATCTTTTATACCCAAGGTCTATCATTTTCTCTCCATCTTTATCCTAGCCTCTCTACATTAGGAGAAAGCTTTTTAGATCTCATCATAAAAATCCTAACAGAAGCTGGGACGCCTTTAGTCCCAGCACTCAGGAGGCAGAAGCAGGCGATCTCTGTGAGTTTGAGGCCAACCTTGCCTACGTAGTGAGTTCCTGGACAGCTGGGGCTACAGGGAGGCCCTGTCTCAAAAAAACCAAAAAATAAAAAATCCTAACAGTAGCAGGGCCTGGTGGTGCATACCTTTAATCCCAGCATTTGGGAGGCAGAGGCAGGTGGATCTCTGTGAGATCTAAGCCAGCCTGGTCTACACGGTGAGTTCTACCGGGGGTAGTAGCCTGTAGGGAGACCCTGTCTCAAAATAAATAAATAACCCAATTCTAAATAATATTAACTATAAATGGCTAATGCCATCTATTGAGCTCTTACTATATACCAGGGTCTGCACTAATTACTTGGCAAACTATACCGCTTAATCATCACATTATCGCTATCAGGAAGCGTATTTGCCCATTTTAGAGATGAAGATGTGAAGTGTACGGGGGAAAGTCACAGTGCTTATACTCAGCAGAAGCAGGATGTGGGACTACAGCCGTGATGGCCAGCATGACAGCCCCAGTGACCTTGCCCTCCTGCGAAATGCAACAGTTGTTTGAGCTGCTCAATGGTAGGAGAATTCTTATGTAGTAGGAGAAACAGTTCTGCCCCCTAGAGCCTCATTCCCACCTGATTCATCTGTGGGGCAGATCAGAGATGGGTCTAGACAAGGCAGTTCAGAGGTTTGGGACTTGGAGCAGGGTCATGGCAGGTGTACTTTTAAAGATGCGAGTGGGAGTCAGGAAACTGGAGTTCTGACTCACAAGCCTCACCACATTCACTGCCTGTCTCTACAAAGGGGCTGTTATTTCCCTTCAATGAGTGGCTAGTGTTCTCCGTGTCTGGTTTTCTCATTGGTAAAATGTCTTCCCAAGCTCTCCTGTGGGTTGGTGAACCTGGAGCATCGGCTCCTTTGAAAGATGATTGTTGTGTAGCAGTTCCTTTGAGATAAAGACTTCCATCTTGGAGGGAAGCTTAAGACAGGGTGTGCTAAAGGGAGGTGAACAATAGCATGTTCTAAATGGAAATAAACTCAATAGTTTCAGGAAGTCCCTGAAAGTGACCAAGCTGACTACCCCAAGCATACAGAAGCTCCAAGGTCTGCTGAGACGTTCAGACCTGCTACCTGAAAAAGACACTCTCCAACCTGTGGAGCTGCCTGCAGGTTAGGTTGTGTACTGCGACCCAGGTTTCCTGCTTTTGTGAGCTGTTGCCTGTGCCAGGGTGGGCTTTTGGTGATGCTCCTGTAAGTAACCCTTCATGTTAATTCACTTCAATAAACAAATTGGTTTACCAAGTTGGACTTTGATGGTATCCTTACTTTGGCTTGTCACTGGTTCCCTAACTTGGATGAGTAGCCATGTGTTCAGGTCTCCCTAGGAATAGTGTCACACAACATAACTGGTGCCTGAACAGGGACTGACAGAACCAAAGATGAACTGGGGAGAAGTGATTCCATGGTCCAGGCTATGCGGAGCAAGGAATGCAGCTATGGTTAGCAGCCTGAGGACGGAGCATCTACAGGGGCAATCCCAACATGGATTCCTTTCCTTATGTGGTATGGGACAGTGTCTTCTAGCTGTGCCAGCAGTGCATGGCCCCCAGGATGGGTGCTGAGACCTCCATCCAGAAACAAAATCTAAGGGGAAGGCATTCGTGGGGGGAATCCTGATGACACTGTCTTCCTCTGTGTGGTATCAGGGGTGGCATGCCTGCTTGGTGAGTGGAGTCTGGTGTGTGAGTCTGGAGATGCCCTGAGAATGGTTGAAGGTTAAAGCAAGTTTCACAGTCTCTGTAAGTAGTGTGTAAGGAAAACAGATCATCAGTAGGCTGCTTCAGAGGTTGTGTGGCCACTGTTAAGTGTGAATAAGATCAGGTAACTGAGGCCGAGATGGACACTCAGTGGGAACTGCCTTGTGCACGAGAACTTGGAACAGGAAAAGGACATTCGGACAGTGTCTTCCACATCAGCCTCTCAGATAAACAAGAATGAAATGGAGATGCTGGCTTGCTGTTTCTTATAGCAAGGAGGTGGGCATGTTGGGGGTAGACATACGTTAGATCCGCGTTGAAGAACCCTTCCTTGGATCTAAGAATTAGACAGTGAGGAAGAAGAGAGGAGTACACTCTTCACCGAGACCTTTTATAAAAAAGGAAGTCTCAGATTCAGCATGCGGATGGGGCCTTAACAAGACCCAGTACAAGAAAGTGTGGTAAGGGGAATACTCAGTGCCTAGGATACCTGAATTGACAAAGATTCTGAAACGTGATGAAAGAATCTCTCATAGCCTGGCTTGTGAGGCTTTGTGGCATGGGGACAGATGGGATCGATCTGAGTGCTAGAGAGGCAGAAAAGCTAAGTAGTGAAACTACCCATCCTTCCTCAAGACAAAGGCTGCATAACCTGAGGTCTGGCTCACACAAGCCATTGGGACATTTGGTTATGGCCAGCTGAGATCCTTGTGAATATTGACTGGAAGACAATAAAGGACAGGAAATATTTAGGGAACTGGGCATGAGAAAAGTAATGCTTGACGCTCAGTTCACTGGGTCAGATAAGACTGTTCATTCAAGAGTTAAGAAAGAGGTGGATTTACCAGAGACCTCAGGGCTGGGATGAAGGTTTAGTGGCTGTTATGAGTCCCATGGTAAGACACGATCTTTATAAAAAGGGGCAGGTAATTCCTACTTCAGCCCCTGCTGTGGAGAAAGGTGATCTCCAGGGATGGGAACCTCTCAAACACTTCTCTAATGGAGTGGCACCTGCAGATGAGGACGATACAAGGTGACTGAAAGTCCCATGTTAAATTGTGGATTGGTCTTCTCTTAACATTACAAGTACTGGGGCTTGGAAGGATGCTAGAAGCAGGCGCACCTGGGTTCCTGGTGGCCCCCAGGAGAATCAGAACAACTGGCAGACAGAGATATGAATACAAGTTAAAGGGATTAAAGTCTGAACAAGGGGTGAGTAAATCATGTGGGAACAGAGACTATTCATCCTGCCAAGGAGGTGGGTG